CCTAAAGTCCCGTGTCATGATCATTAGATTTTTGTTTAATCTTTTATTGAATAATAATATGTGATTTATTATTTTTTATCTTAAAATATTTGAAATTTTTATCATTTTTTTTAGATATTTGAGTATGTTTATAATTTTTTAATAAAAATTATAAAATTGCATATAATTACCGGGTCATACGGTTGAACCAGTGACCCACTGGTTGACCCAATGACCCAGTACCTTGTCCGAGTCAATGACCGGATCAGTTTTAATAACATTGGTTAAAACTAATGCGTGCATTTTAATGTGAGTGTTTTTAGATAAGTGATTATGTAAATTCAAAATAGTTAGATATATAAAGCTTTTGTTATAAGTTAAAATAAATTTTTTTAAATAAAATCTATTTTGTATATATTTTTATAAATATCTAATACTTATTAAAGGAAAATTACGGAATACTTATTATTTTTCTTTAAATCATCTCAATTTACTCATATTTTTTTTTTTTAACAAACATTGAAGAATATCATAAGAGAGATAACTTTTCAAACAAGCTGTGTGGGGTGGGTGTGGGCGGTGGAGGTCCACCCAGCCCACCAAGATTGCGTGTACTTTGACTTTATGGAAATTGAACTATAGTCATCTATGCTTGATTCTATGATTTTTTTTTTTTCTTTTTAATCTTAGCTTAGAATTTGAATTTTTGGGTTGGATTTGATAGGTCATGGCCTTATGGGTGGTGGGGACTTGCCGACTTGGGAAAGAAAGGCTGGCATTGGTTATTGGTTACCAGAGAAGGATTTGTTCTTCTTCCACTGCCCAATACCTCCTTTTCCATATTCTTCTTTCTCCTATACATGCCTAAATTAAGAGTCCGTTTCTGTGGGTTTTTTTTTTTTAAAAAAAATTATGCATGATTTTCTTAAAGTGCTTTTTTAAAGTTGAAAATTATTTTGTATTTAGATGAAATACATAAAAAAATTGGATGTTAAAATTAAAAAAAAAAACTCTTTCACATATAAAGTTATTAAAATTGAAATTTTTGAGAAAAATATTTAATTTTTCTTTTATTTTATTTTCATACGTCAGGAATCTTAAATTCAAAAAAAAATATTATTTTAACTTTTAACTTTTAACTTTTTTGAATTTTTTCTTTTTTTGAATGTTATATTCAACTACATATATTAAATAAAAATATTTTTATTTTGAAAAAATAAACTATTTAATGAAAAAAGCTTTTTCAAATGCATTGTAAGTCCACACATGCATTTTTGTAAGCATGCATATTTTCATTTACCCATCATAAAATTATGAAAATGGAATTATTTACGAAATAATGACTATTAAATTTTTTTTAATGAAATATTTTAATATTATTGCTTTCAAGTTTATAAAAGCGTTTAGAATTTCTGAAGTGTTCAAACTTAAACTCCTTAATTTGTATATGATTCTGGTGTTTCCTCAAATGAAACAAAAGATTGATGAGATCTTAAAAAACAAAATTAAAGTCCTTGTCATTTGGAGCATGCAGATTCTGTTCTAGTTTTGGTGAGGTCAAGATAGATTTCTAGTTTTGGTGAAGTTAGGAAATTAATTTAAGTTCTCAACCAAACTTCACCTACTCACAGCTTATTTAAAATCATATTATCTATTAATGGACCCCAAAATTTTGACTAATAAAGTCAAATTTTGTAATTAATTGCAACATATTATGGACATTTTCTCCTTCTTGGTCAAAATATAAATTACATTGTAAACTTCTTGGTCAAAATATAAATCACATTTTCTCCTAGTCTAATAAATCTTGTGGTTGATAACTTACACTTTCCGTATTCTAAAGATATTTTTACCTCTTTCAAAGATTTCTTTTAAAAAAGAAAAATAAAAAACATTGGTAGATATTCGGAAAACATAAGCCATGCATTTTGTTTTTGTTGATTTTTTAATATAAATTATAATTTTTTTTTTCGAGAGATGGATGAAAATTAAAGCTTTGAATTCCTTTTAAAGATAATATTGAAGGGAATTAAAAACATACTCTCATTCCAGCTGTTCAATTTTTATGTACAAATTAAACTATTATTATTTGATTGTTTTTGTCAATTTTTGCATTTAAGAAACTACGTACAAGACAATCCATGTTTTGCTTAGAATCCAACCTTCAGCTAACATATATCAGGTAGTGTTTGGTTTGAGAGAAATGAAAATATTTCTGAAGAAGTGCATGTGGGTAAGAGACATCTCCATGTTTGGTTGAAGCATTGTGGTAGATTTTCCTATCAAAACGCTTTGTCTAGCAATTGAGGAAAATGAGTAAAAAATGAGAGTCTATACTGTTTAGGAAGTCCTTTGTAAAGGTGGAATTGTTGAAAGAAATTGGATAAATGAAAAAGGGATAAATGACATGACAGATTTACCCTTCTTTCTTAAGCACATGTGACCATTTCAAACTTTTAAAATAAAGATTACTTTTGTAATTGAAGATATTTTTCCCATCTAATTTTTATTTTCAACCAAACATACATTAGGCTTTTTAACCCAATTTTTCCATCAATATTTTGCGGTACCAAACAACTTTTTATAAATTTTCCTACCAAACTTATTTTCCTTTGTTTTTTCTATCAATTATATTTTCCTAGTAAAAGTTTTTTTCTCCCGAACCAAAGACTACTTTAATAATTTTTCTGATTCCTGTAATTCTCCAAAACATCTGATGTATAGGCTATCTACACGTGGCAACGAGTTGGCCAAAACCAAATAACCGAGCCGCATTCGTAAAATCAAGCGAGTCATATCATATGCATTTGAGTGACAACCAAAACTTCATTCTGATAGCCAAAATTTTATGAAACGTCTTTTTATTTTTTACACAAATTTTTTTTGTAAAGAATTGGCCCCTGTATATAGAAATCCACGGATAGAATAATCAAAATAAATTCTTTAAAATTGGAAGATTAACCGTTGAACTTAAAATTGCGTCACGTTACCTACGTATGGACAAAAACTTCAGCAGACAAAACTGCTATACAGAGTGTAGATGAATAACGTTTTTTCCCCCCATATTCTTCATCTCTTTATATTAGGTAAAATCAGAATATAGATATATAAAAAGCGAGATAGACTTAGTTATAATTAAAAAATTAATATTATATAAATACAAAATAATATGTGTATAAATATACGTAATATTGTTAAAGTATATACAGCTACTCAAGGATCTAATTCCATAGAAAAACACTTATGACACGTGTGCTTACATTCTATTTACTTATGTGATGAAATCAAAATAAAAGTCCGGAAAATTATTTACGTGACGTGTAAACATCAATGGGGATTCAGTAGGGACATACACGCAAACCCCACGTTTTATAATTGTTAATACCTTTTACCTATATAGACAGTGAATTATTATGCTGATGTAGATTTTTATGTTATATATGGGCTGTCGGCCTTTTCTATGATGTCCCGTTATTAATTTGTTAAAAAATAATTAATTCATTCTATTGGCAGATGAAGTGGATTAACCTACTTATCTGAATTTATTTTACATTAATTTGTCCAAGTTTTTTCTGTCAAAAAATAAGTCAGTCTATCCCACTTTGTTTTTTAGAGTGAATTGTAAAACTCAATTTGCAACGAGAACAAGGGCTGACCTAGTAGGGGGGCTAGGGTGGGTCCCTGCCCTCCTCTAAAATTTGGATTTTTTTAATAATATATGTAGAAAAATGTAATGATAAAATTATCGTGTTGTACACGTTTTTTCCTTCAGTTTCCTATGCTTCTGCTCACACTTTTGGTATAAGTTTTATTTTGGGTTTGATGGGGAAGTGTGAGTGGGTATTGAAAAATACCACATTTGCTTCAAGTTTTTTTAAAAAAATACTAGGCAAATATGAAGGCTAGGAAACGACTTTGGTGTTGATTTTTAGCTGAAATTCACTTTTACAAAATACCACTTGAGATGTGGTATTTTGAGATAACTGAAGAAGTGAAAAAACAGGTGTGAAGTTTCTTCCGAACATAGATTTTATAAATTTAATATTTCGGTCAACCAAACATTTTTTTTTTAATTTTTCCATCAAACTGACTTTCCTACCATTTTTTCAGTAATTATATTTCCCTGGTAATTTTTTTTTCTCCTCTACCAAAACCCCCTTACCTATATTTTTCCTTGAGAACATCATATCATCCTCTCTCTCCCTTCCTTGTTCCGTCCATCACCAACCTCCTTCTTCAGCCTTTCGATTTTGGCTGTGTAAATTCTAGAGCCAGGCAGAATCAACTTCCACCTTCCTAAGATCATTGCATGTATGTATAGTCATAGATTATCTTTAATTACATACATTGAAAAAAGAATTATTTTGAGTTTTAGCACAGATTCAATTATATATGAGTTTAATAATATGAAAACACGTAGAGTAAGAGTAATTGAAGTGATATTAGTTTCTGTAATAGATTTCTTTCAAATTTTTTGTATATTAAGTTTGTATTGTATTTCAAGTACTTTTATTTATGATATAGCATTTTTTTATTTTTGCCCCCTCTTATTAAAATTCTTGTGTTCGCCATTGAACGAGAATAGTACTTTTTGACAAAATTTTTACTCAAATGTCACATGAACATTACTTTTTATCTGACTGTTACGTGGCATAATTCGCTACGACTGGTAGCACATTATATTCGTTAATTATTTTGTGACACGTGGCCATATTGAAAATCAAATTCGCTATCTTTGGTAGAAAATTATGATGCGTCAGTTAAAAAAAATGTGTCACTTGTCATAAAATCATTTACGAACATAATTTGCTATCAGTTATAGCAAATTATGTCACGTGTCAATCTGGTAAAAAGTATTGTTCGCGTGCCATCTGAATAATTTTTTTACAAAAAAATTACATTTTGGTCAGTGTTCCCTATCCATCCACCGACCTAAACCTATTTTGCCACGCTTGCCCTTCATCTTGCTTTACATCCCACACTTCATCTCAAAATTTTCCTTTACCATTTCACAGAATCACGTTGCTAATACGAAAACACCTTTACAGCACATTTCAAAAGCTGAGCTGTGAGTTCTCTGTCTCACTCTCTTCACTCTCAACTTATATATAAACTCAACGTTTTCATTTCTTGAACTCTTACACTACAAACTCCTCACCCTTATTCAATAAGCGTCTTTTTGGCCTCCAGTGAGGAAATCAAAGCGCGTTGTTAAAGAAGAATGAGTGAGAAGTTGGTTGTGCAAGATGGGTATGTGTTCAAAGAAGAGACCCACCTCACCGTTCTCAAAACCTCTCTTTTCTTCTCCGGTGATGGCTTCGCTGTTTACGATTCCAAGGGCCAACTCATCTTCCGAGTCGACTCGTATGGACCCCACACCACCGACAAGGACGATCTCGTTCTCATGGATTTCAATGGCCGTTGTCTTCTCACTCTGCGCCGAAAGGTACGTATCTTCCTTAATTGTTTCTTTCCGAGTCCACTCACTGACTCCGAGTTAACTCGCCCAATCAAATCGTTTCTGCATATAAATCGTTTTTTTTTTTTTTTTGTCGTATAAATAATAATCACCCCATCAAATTTTTAGAAGTCTGAACTTCATTTAAGTTTTTTAGTCACATAAATAATTATACTTTATAATGAATATTATATTTTCATAAAATTTTCTGCATCCGCTATATTACCTGAATCGATACTACTAATTATGTTTTTTTTTGTTATGTATAAGATTAGATTAATTTAATTATGTATACAATTACCATGATTTTCTCCAATCATTTCTTCTTCAAGGTCAAAAGATTACAAAATTTTTTTTTTAATAATTTTGAAACTTTGTATTTTATTGTTCATAGACGAGTCGTTGATTTTGAGTCGACTCATTGAGTTAACACGGGGTTGGTATTTGCGAAGCAGTGGCCGAGTCTTCATCAACGGTGGGAAGGGTTCAAAGGGGAGAGAACGGACGGTGATAAACCGATGTTCAGCGTGAAGAGATCGTCGATCATCGGACGGTCACGGACGAGCGTGATAGTGGAGGTGTACGATAAACCCGGTGTGGAGTACCTCATCGAAGGGTGCTTCTCGAAGCGGTGCTGTAAGGTTTTCAACGCCGTGAAGGAAGTAGTGGCTGAGATTTGTCGAAAAGTGGACCCCACCACAAGCGTTATGCTTGGGAAAGAAGTGTTCTTGCTTTGCGTTAAGCCTGGTTTTGATGGGGCCTTTGCCATGGGATTGGTCTTGGCACTTGATCAGATCAACGGTGAGGATTACTTTGATTATGGAACCACGGAGATTGCGGTGCACCCTGCTGCAGAAGATCGACGATTTGGTTCTTCGGTTCCATCTTGAGATTTGTGTTTTTATCTTTTTTTACTCACTGCTATTTGGGGCTTGGATTGTCCCCTTAGAAACGCTATGCAATGTTGTACATGTTATATGCATAGAAGATAAAGATGAACTCATCATTCCTCTTTTTGATTTTGCCCTTTTTATTTCATCATTGCCTGAATGACTTCAATTAAATGGTTAATTGTGTACAATACTACTTTCAAAATTCAAGTTATGCTTCAATTAAATATAACTGTTTTATTTACTAAATAAATTAATAAATAATTTTTCCCCATTTTCAACATAAATTGTAAGTATCTTTAATTTAGGTGACGAACTAGCTCTTTGTAAACTTTAATATTGAAACAAATTGAATGAAATTATTTATATTAGTTAATTACTTATTTGATCAACTCTTTGTACGGAGGAGGTAGTGGCAGGCATATTATAAAATATTTATTTATACACATATATATGATAATTAATTCGTTTTAAAATTATTATAATATTTTCTATAAATTCATTAAAGATTGTTATCTCCGCATATATATTGTTTTATTTATTAAAAAGTATTTACTTAATTAATTAGTATCACTCTCAAGAAACTAAACGCTATGATGCACGAATACGGGACACGATACGACACGTTAATTCTAAAAAATGTCATATTTGGACACGTTTTGATATTAAATAATTTTTTTAATATATAATATAATTTATATTTAATACATATAAGAATCCATAATAAGTCATATAATCAATCAAATATTTAAATTTTATAACATAAATATTAAAAAAAATAATAGAACATCCCAAGAGTGTAGAGTATAGAAAAATTATTTTACTTATGATTACACACAGTTCAATTATTTTCATCTTCATCTTGAATAATCATGGCCTCTATCTCTGGCTCATCAAGTGAAAAGGCTAGCAAATTGAAGATCTCTAATATCATCAAGTGAATCAAATGTATCTCCAGCAATATCTCACATTTGATTTGCTCCTTGTGCATAACTAGAATGAATCACGTGTCCACCTCGTCAGAAGTGGTTACAAAAACATAACTAGATTAACATTATTATTATTATCTGTCCCAAATTATCTTGTACAAATATTAGCATTCGGTGGGTTAAGAGTAGACTTAAGCGGAGAAGCAGAAATCAATAAATAAATAAATCCATTATCTTATCCATCAATACGGATAGAAAAAGAAAACAAAGGAAGGCTGGAAAAGAAAGGAAAATAAGCATGAGCTGCAGCAGCACCACGCTACTAGTGCGACTGCGAGCCTAAAGGTGGCTCTGGTTTCTTCCTCTTCGACGAACACTTCGTCATTGGTCAGCGTCTCCCCCAATTTTGCATCGATGCACACGAAGACGATGCCTTTGTCTTCTTCTTCCTATTGCGCACGACAACAAAGAAGAAAGCCTCCAGCGTGAGAGAGGATCGGAGGAGAATAGGGTTCCAGATTTTTATTAAATATTTTGTATTTTTTTAATTGTAATTTTATTTTATTTTTACAAAAAAATGCAAAACGTGTCCATTTACGTTGACCGCGGGTCAGATACGGTCAAATTCGCGTGTCTCACTAATCAACGTGTCCTAAAAAGTCAACTACGTGTCGGACGTGTGTCCGAACGTGTTCGTGACGTGTCCGTGTTTGACGGCTTGCAGCTGGCTGGTGCATTGCATCGTAATAAATGTCTGTACCATGTCATGTCTTTCTCAATTGAGTTTTTTTTTTTTTTTTGTATATTTTATTTTATGTCTGATATATATATATATATATATATACATATATATATGAGTTTTATTAATCTTATGTTAAAGGAAATAAGTTGTCTCATATCATAGAGATAAACTTGTGAGTTCTGCTACCTGAAAAAATAAAAAATAAAAGAAAAAAAAATGGCACAATTATCGAAGGGTGTGTAAGAATAAAAACGTATCTCATGCAGCATAAGAATATATATATATATATATATATAGGTCAGGATTATTTTATACCAGTGTAAGTTACACTCTCAATTTTGTCTATTGATTTCACTTATATCTAAGGGCTCTAATTTTTTAGTAATGTGAGCCGTTGGATACAAGTGGATCAAAGGTCAAGATTGAGTGTAAAACTTCTAACTCTTACACCGGTGTAAGAATATCCTACCCCTGTATATATATATGAGTTCGCTTTTTCGACAGTTACTGCAGATAAGTTATCTGCAGTAAGCCCAATACGACGTCGTTTGAGGACGGAAATCATGGTGATTTTGTATTTTTAATTTATTTCGGAGTTATTATAGTCTTTATAATTATAATTATTTAATTTTTCAATCCCAAAACGACGTCGTTTTGGAAGTAAATGCAGATAACTTATCTGCATTAACTGCAGAAATATTTATCTATACAAATATTTGGGATGGGATGGTCGTAGGTTTGGGATGTCTGTAAACTTATCTCAAGCTGCTTGAGAAATGTTTTTCCTATATATATTATATTTTGATTTGTTTTATCAGTTCTTTCTGTATTTGATTCATTATTGTAAATGGATTTATTTAGAATTTCTTTTGTTGATTTAGAAAAAAGTTGTACATTGATCCTAGGAATACTAATTATACATACAAAGATATCTATGTATACCCTTTCTACAAAAAAAATTTGAAAAATGAGTATGATTTTCGGGTTAACCGATGATTTATTCTTTGTAATATCTGCAAAAGATTTTTTTCCAATTCTAATATATATATATATATATATATATATATATATTGGGGTTTACATTTCTGCAGTTGTTGTACGTGCAGCAATCAAATGCTTGCCATATATATATTTAAAAGCATTAAATGCGAAGAATCATAACCATACGGAGAACAAAAGCATTAAATGTGGAAAATGATAATTATACATCTGTCGTGGTTGTATATAAAGCGGATGCAAAAATAATTTTACCATATATATATAAATAGAGATAGGATCCTTTGACACCAGTGTCAAATTTAAAGTTTAACACCTCATCTGAGAGCTGTTAGATCAAAAAAGATCAACGACTCTGATTTGTAAGCATGTGATACTATTGATCTTTTTTGATATAATTGCTCTCAGATGAGGTGTCAAACTTTAAATTTGACACTGGTGTCAAAGGATCCTACCTTTTATATATATATATATATATATATATATATATATATATATATATATATATATATAGGATGAATTAAGTGAAGTGTGCTTTTTATTTCTATAAACGAGGATGAATTAAGTGAAGTGTGCTTTTTATTTCTATAAACGAGGAAAGAGAAATTTTTTCCCCCCTTGTGTACCCGTTCATCTTACTAATATAAAGTTTCGTTTAATTTCTGGGAGGTGATATATTAAAGAGTGTGAAGTTGTTAAAGCTACTTTGAGATTATTTTGTATAATGTTTATTAAAATATGGGTTATGTTTATCTCATTTTACATGAGATAAACAACTTTCCTACACACACAAAAGGGAGTTGGGTCCCACCATTCTTTTTTCTCTCTCCTCTTACCTGTGAGTCCCACTTATACTTTTATTTCTACAACATGAGATAATTATTTTCCTACAACATAAAAAAAATATATCCCTTAAAATATATGCATAAAAGTGTATACGGTTCATATTTTATTTCTTTTCTTTTATTTTTATATGAGTCTAGATGAATTCCATATATTTTTTTATATGTATTTTGGTTAATATTAAATAAAATTATATAAAATAACTGTAAAAAGTACTTCAAACACTCTATATTAAATTAGGAGAAAAAGTATCTAATGTTACTTTAGATAACTTTATCTAATGTTCATCAAAACGACGTCGTTTTAGGGTTGAAAAATTAAAAATTTAGAATGATAAAGACTATTATAACCCTGAAATAAATTAAAATTACAAAAACACCATGATTTCCGCCTCAAAACGACGTCGTTTTGATGAACATTAGATAAAGTTATTTAAAGTAACTTTAGAAAACACAAACTCATTAAATTATAGGAAAAACTACTCTTCAGCTATAGGAGAGTAATTTATTTTCTTGTAGAGACATGGATTCTTATATTTTTTTATGGGAAATAATTTTCTTATGTTGTAGGAAAATGCTTATCTTATGTTGTAGAAACAAGATTGTAAGTGGGACCCATAAGTAAGAGGAGAGAGAAAAAAAAAGAAATGGGACCCACCTAGCTTGTGTGTGTGTAGGAAATGTAGTTATCTTATGTAAAAGTAGATAAATATAACCCTTTTTTTATTTTATAATTATGTGAATTTCTTATGTGATTATGAGTAGAGGTGGCAAAGTGGGCGGCCCCGTCCCGCCATCAACCCGTCAAAAAATGAGTCAGTCCGTCTCGCCCCGCTTTTGAAAGTGGGCTGAAAAACTCAGCCCGCCCCGCTCCGTTTGGCGGGTTGGCCCGCCAGCCCGAGTCTATTTTACACTGACCCTTCTCGCCCCGCCAATATCCGCTGTCAACCCGCCAAAAAATGAGCCCACCCCGCCCCGTCCTGCTTTTGAGATGGGTTGAAAAACTTAACCCGTCCCGCCCCGTTTGACGGGTTGGACGAGTTAGCCCATCGAGCCGAACCTATTTTGACGGCTCTAATTATGAGAGTGATAGGAGATATTCTCTCTCCTAAGCCCTTAAATTATTAGTATAAAGCGCTATCTCATTCTCTCATGCATTCACACATATTCTATGAATAAGTTCTGCGATGATATGAAACGGCTGGATAATTGCATTCTCTCATGCATTCACACATATTCTATGATCGACCTTTTGCACCTCTTTGACCGATAAAGTGCAGAATAACTTGTTCGTACCACGCCCCAATAAAGTAATAAATAAGAAATAAAAAGCATAGAAACAATGCGGAGCCATGTATCACTATCAACAGGATGTGATCTCAGTTTGGCTTAAATTTTAAGAAATTGTAGTTATTATATATAATTATATAATTAATTATAATTTGACTTGAGTTAAAATTATAATTTTAATCCGGACTATAATTTATAATTTGGTCATATTTAAAACTTAAAATAATTTTGGTGAAAGATTTGGGTAAGTTGTATAAGTTATGTGTTTAATTTTGACTTGTATAAAAAAATAAAATATGTTTTTAGTAAAATTAAAAAATAGAGTAAATACCATTTTCGGTCCTCAGCAAATTTTACGATGCCCGCTTTAGTCCCTAGCAAATAAAAAGACTATTCGTGATCCTTAAGAAATTCAAAGTGGACCAATTTTAGTCCTTTTAAGAGACTAATGTGTATATTTTTTGAATTTGTGAGGAATCACGATTTCAACTAAATGAGTATTTACTCTTAAAAAATATTTAATAAAATTATAATTCTTCTTGTTGTTATATGTTCAGGTGCTCTATATTTAATATAATTTAAATATATTATGATATAAACTAACTAAAATTACAAAAAATAAATACACATGTAATTTTTTTGGTTCGGACTCAAATTGAAATCCGAATCCAACAATGCATAGAAAAGTACAAAACATAAGGAAAGAAAAACGATATGTTATCATGAATTAGGTTCCGATAGCTTTACTTTTGTGTAGTTCTGAATGCAGAAAGTCTTACGAGAGCCAGCCACCTGGCAAGGAGAAGTCATGACATCTCAATCAATCCATCCCTGTATTAACATGTTCCTCAGTTAGTCTATCACACTAAAATGAGACTTTATGCTTCACACGTAAATTCTACTAAAAAGGTAAAAAGACCTATACCTAGCTTAGTTGACAAAACACTATACGTACAAATGCAACCAAACTAAAGCGACAAAATGAGAAAACGGTGTGAGAATTTGCTGACCTGACCTGAACTGTAAAGGGAATCAAATTCCTATTTCATATATCACCATTGACAAATGTGGCTTGTGATGTATGGTAAGAGTTGTAATTTAATTGATATTGTTACCGTGTCAAGATTTCTTTAGTTCAATTGCATGAGAATTCTAGAAGGGTTATTATTTATTTTATTTTATTTTTCAAATTTGCTTTGATGTGCGATTAACAAATAACATGAAAGTTTAATAAATTTAGAAAAATGAAAGGCTTTATTGATCAACGTGTCGTCATAATACTACAAACTCTCCTACAAATATCTAGAGTATAACAAAGGCATACATACACACCAATGAATCACAAATTATTCATAAGTAGTAGGTCAATTATTTTGACTGAATCCTCTACATCCAAAAGGCCATGCAGATGAATGATAACAATAATAGGAAAGGAAAAGTAGCGAAAGCACAAGATGCAGAAGATGGAGATGGTGGAGTAAGATCAGGGGTGGCCGTGGTAGCTGGTGGAATGGCGGTAGAAGGTGGCAAAGCAATGGTAGAGCCTGAGACATTGATGGCTAACTTCTGGCCACGATTGCAGTGCTGACCGATGGTACAAATGTAGTAATGTTCGCCGCCTTTGTTGAGGGTCACGTTGGTGGGGCCAGTGGTTATGACCGTGCCTATAGAGTTCTCCGAACTACACGAATTATAGGACTCTCTTGGCACTTCAAGTACATCATGTTGGTTTGTCTCGAAATTAAACACTTGAAATCCAAACCAATGCAAGGGAAAAAGAAAAAGAAAATAAATCAAATGAGAAAACCTTAATTATATATAGTAATTTTTTTAGTAGTAAAAGGATAAGTGGTATTATGTTATGTAATGTCATATAGGATTATATATATATATATATATATAGGAAACATAAGAATAAAAGAGATGAATGTTTCTTGCTTACATAGAATATCTCCAACTGCAAAATTATTCTTAGAAGCCCAAGTTTGATATGCGGAGGTATTTTGTGGAACTATCCAACCCATGTCATCTCCAACCACATGCAGTCTCTGTGCCTCCACGCGTTGTAGAAGCATTAATATTGCCACAACCCCTCCAAGAGCAGCAATTGCATGAGAACTCATTTTGTTCATGTTTAATTTTTTGGAAAAAAATATTTGTATAAATTGAAATCAGAAAACTATAAGAAATGCAAATGAAAGTGGTGAGATGAATGCCACAAGTGGTTGTAGTATTTGGAATGGGGAGCGTAGCTATAAATAGGGAAACAAAATCATAAGGGAAAGGTGACTTGAGTGCACTATTGCATAGACAATAGAGTACATGTATGTACGTTTCAAGTTTCAAGTTTCAACACGGCCTTGTCGGGATAGCGTGAAACACTGGTAGCAGCACCGAAACGACACTAGACTCAAAATGACCAAGTCTTGATGATGACATCCCCAAACATTTAATTTTTTAGATCTTAATTGACTTTTTCTTTTAGTATTTTCTTTTCCTTTCCTTTTTCTTTTGAAGTGTTGTGAGTCATTAGAGTGCTAATTTTATATGATAAAAACTATCAATTCAATGATAGGTTTTGCGATAAAGTTATACAATAAAAAGGAGTTTAACTTTTTTGCATTTGTTGCAGAAAAGTTTGTCATGTCACTTTCACCAAAAAAAAATTAAAAAATGGGTCCCCTATAATACAGTTCGTATCAAAAAATTTGCCTACGATAAAAATTAGCAATTCAATTATAGGTTTGCAATAAAGTTATATAATAAAAAAAGTTTAACTTTTCTGCGGTTGTTGCAGAAAAATTTGTCTATCACTCACAAAAAGAAAAAGAAAGAGTGAGTCTCAAAAAAATTTGCTACTGTATTCTAGGAGTACAAAATATGTGACCGATAAAAACTTCTGCATGAAGAAATATTTTTCTCATAAAAAAATTAATGACATAAGAGTAATTTAATTTGCATCACTATTCTAGGAATTCATCTCTCCCTGTCGTAAGCGTTTATAAATTTCGTTAGTTTTTCTGATACTAAAAGTAAACACCATGATTTGCCATTAAACTGTTATACATAAGTTTTTTTTTTTCATTATTATTATTATTATTTCAAATGCTAGTAATTCTGGGAGGAATTTTCATAGAGGAAACCCAAAGTCTCTCGTGTATTTCATACGCAGTTTCCATATGTTGAAAATTTGCTTTCAAGTGTGTTGTTGTGTTCGTGTATCAATTCATCAAACAAAAGAAGCAGACTTTTCCAATTGAATGGACCTTGGTTTGGAAACCATAAAGCTGATTCTTTGACATTCTTACATGCATATAAAAGCAACATAATTGGAGATATTATAGGATAAAAAGAAAATGCTTTGGTTAACTTTGTTTAAGATTGTCCAAAAATGTAATAACACATACCTTATTTAAAATTTTGAGCTAGTTAGTACATAGCACACTTCAAATAGTTAAATGTTATCCGTGATAACATGCCATTCTCTCTGTTTCATGGGTTAATTGAACCATTGATCTTCTATCTTCCATCTTTTGTTCTGTCAACTTAATTATTTTCTTTGTACAAACAAGTCTTTGCAAGAATCGCTCTATTGGCCAATAAGAAAATTCTACATTCATATACCCCATAATTCTTGCCCCTATATTAATTGCTATGCGTTTTTATTATCGAATTGGACTTGGCTCAAAGTTCTTGATTTCCCATTGCTTTGTTCAAACTTAATGGATCTATAAAACACGTTACATGGACCTAGCAAGTTATGCGACAACTGGTTGCGGTCGAGTAAAAGTACAACCCTTTGTGTTATACATTGATTGAACAAGTTCTATATTCTTTGAGCGTATGACATTAATGCCAATCCGAAATAAATGACAATAAAGAAATATTAAGCAAAAGATATTGCCATCTTTTTTCATAGATTCTTTAGTCGCATAAAACACACTTGACACATACTAGTGAAATGTTGAAAAAACAACATCAATACTTGATCATCAACTACAACATGGAGACAGGATTGAATGGATTGTGTGTGTTAATAAAGAGGAATAAAAAGGTTAATCAACTATACATTGAGATTTCGCAACTGTATTTTGGAAATTCCACAATTTGAATGGTTTGTGAGTTCTGAAAATTGTTACACGATCCAAAGAATCATTGAATCCACTCGTGCCTTCGATCTCATGACCGATTAGAATGCAACAACAAGAAGAAGAAGAGTAGCACAAGTTGAAGAAACCATTACGTATGAAGACCATATCCCCTGCAATGCATAATTGTTAGAAGCTTGGAACTGGAAAACAGAAAGTTTAACACATTAATTATACCTAAATACAGCACCAACATTACTCAACCGAGAAGTGGTGAACGAAAAAAAAAGAAATCAAGAGTGCTACACAATGCCTTCTGACATGTTTTTCTTATGTAAATTACTCAACCATAAAAAAACCTTATATTCCCATTGATACATTGGTACATTTCATAACTGCAATAAACTATGAAAAAGGGTACTTAAGAATTTGAAGGTTCATTGTCGTGACATGGTAGGTGCTTCAATAAACATAACAGAACAAGCATTTCCAGAACTAAAATCAAGGGCAGGGGCAGAAGAAGGGAAATCATTTTTGCATTATTATCAATTAAAAGATGTTAAATATTTAGAAGAACATGGAGTGTGAATCAAACCCATGTTTGTGTGCATTAAATAGAAACACTTTCACATATAGTATCTAAAGTTAGTAAAAGCTAACTGGTATCAAAGTTTCAATTAAGTTAAATCAATGAAAATAGCCAATTTGTGTGCAAGTAGATGTTACTAATTCAAATCTAGAACTCAGGCTCATCAGCATACATGGGGTAAAACATATCCTATTTTTCATGGGCATTTTATTTTTGGCAAGTTAGTAGCTCAGAATTCCTAGAGATTATGTTCAATAATACAAAAGTTACAACATATCCATACCTTGAAGGAAAGAAATGATGAGGTTGCTGAGGAAACAAGTCCAGTAAAGCCTATATCATATGCAATGCTTCCATCTGGCTTGAACAATCCAAAGTTTCTCTCGGATGTAGGCCCAGGCTTCAAGTTCTCATTAAACAAAGCAAAGATATAAGCCTTCACCTCCATCTTTGGCCTATAAGGGGAACCCTTTTTCTTGAGTAGCAGCTTGCGCAAATTTTTATTGTAAGTCCTTGCATTTTTCAGGTTTGCTCCGGCTTCATCATCGTCCCCACGAGAAGCCCAACCAGTCTCAGAAACAATCACCTGCATCTTGTCATACCCAACCTTCTCCAAGGCAGTATAAGCTGCATCAATTTGAGCCATAAACATGTTATCATAGTGTAGTTTAGTCTTGGCATCATAAATCCCGGGATTTTTTTTGAAGAGAGCATAGTTAATGTCAATATGCTGAGGATCATTCTTATAGGCCAGGAAAGGGTATGCATTGATGAAGAAAGGAGTGCCAATCTGTGAGAAGAATTGCAAGAGAGGCTTCATGTATGGGAGGACATCATCCCTAAAAGTGCATGCAGATGGAGGATATGAATTAGCAAACACAGCCTCTGAATGTGGACTTGAAACCTGAATATCACGTGTTAAACCAAGCTTATCAAGGGCACTGTAAACATTTTTTGCTGCAGGAAGCAAAGCTTCCCAAAGTCCTACATCTGTGCCTCCCAAGATTTCATTCCCCACAGCAATTCCACTAATTTTAGTCCCTGGAAGAAATGGCTCAACATTTTCTTTGATCCAATCCATGGCACGATCCTCTGCAACACTTATGTCTTTCAGAAATTCATTGCCAAGTCCTACCACAATTCCAATTCCAGACCCTTTGAAGGCACTGAGGACTTGATGATCAGCATCATATATTCTAGTGTTTCTAATCTTCGCAGCTTTGAGCAGCGTAACCACACTCTCTGGTGAAGGTAAATTGTCTGCTATCCTACCGTAGTTTACTCCATATGTTCCTGTAAATGCTTTATCCCCTAAAACTGCACCACAGAAGAATGTGAAAGCTTGCATAGAAAATCCATGTCATGCAATGCATAATGAAATTGCAATAAAACTTTTCTACCTATGTAAAACGTTACTAAGCAAAATGTACTCTACAAGACTAAATGCTAAAGCATAAATCTCCGCAGAGTATTATATATAGAAAATGTCATCAATGCAAACATTAAGAAAAGAATGTGAAAATGATGAGTTTAGAAGGAGAAATACACACCAAGAGAAAATGTTACAGATAAGATGAGAAGAAGCCAAAGAAAGAAGGAACTCGAGGAAGAGAACAACATCTTTAGTCTGAAAATATTCAGAATGAGAGAGTATTCCACTTGTGGAAAGGATGTGGGTGCTTCCGTGTGTTATGTAATACTATTATGGTAACATCCTCAGCGAAGAAATCATAAGCAATGGATGCAAAACTTTTCCTCGAGGCATGCCACAATCTATAGATTCTTAGCCTTAAACCAATGATGATTGCAATAAAACAAGGATGTTTTCAGCGGCATAGAATAGATTCTCCCTTTAACTCCTCCTTAAAGTATACCTTTTTTAACTTCCCAATCTTGTTTTCAACTTTTCATCAACTTTATGTGTCTCTTTTCTATAGCTAGCGTAGCAAGGCCATCAAAACTTGACACGAAGGATATGCAATTGGGTCATTAATACCTTTCGTGGCCTCGTGAGTAAAGGGTTTCTGCAATGTTGGAAACGCATAAGAAATGTTGCAGAAAACTTCGATTCCGCAACTTCTTGAGGTCTAGAAGATATTACAAGCTAGGAAGATAAGTGTTCGCTACTATTCAACCCTACAAGGATACTGGTAGCCGTGGATGTTTGCACAGTATTGACACAGTAATAATATAAATCGTTAAAAGATAAAGATCATATTCCCTGATCCTATATAAATTATATTGATATGATAAGATTGAGGTAGATCCTCATCTTCTATTGGATAAACGGTTGAGATATGAATTCAATCTATAAGTAAATATTTAATTATTATAATATCTCATGAAATAAAATTTTAAAAATAATTAAAAGATAGATATCAAAAAAAGCATTACGTATTAAATATAATTTTTTAGATAAATACACACATGGATGTGATAATTATGTTATAATACCAGGGAATATGTTATTTTACCTACTATTTTTTTGTCTATCTTTGTTTACCACCCTCTAACACCGTTAGATCAAAATCTCAAGAAGAGAGAGAAAGATAAATATTAGTTAAAATTCTGATCTAATATTATTTTAAAGTGATAGACAAAGATAAGTAAGAAAAATGATAAGTAAAATAACTTCGGTGTTTTATAATTTTATAGGATAAAAGTGTATGTTTTTTTTCTTCTTTTTATCTAACCCTGACATGCACGTAGCAAAACAACTTAACTTTGCTCTGATATCAACCATTCACTTAACCATGATTATTTCCTCTGATTATTCTTTGAACTATGGTTTGTTCGTTCCGACTTTGTTTTGTTCTATGCTTCCTCCTTTCACCTTATCATTTTTCTTAAGTTGCTGGCTTTCCAGAAAAGTTTACGTTTTTTTTTTTGGATCACAGAATATTCGGCGCTTTTTTTACTAACTATAATAAAAAGTAATATTTTTACATTATCCTTATCTTTATTTTTATTTTCATTCATATCCCATATTTTTTCATTTTTGGGCAAAGACCATGTGGTCCTTGACCATATAATTTTATTTTATTTTTTTAGTAAAAAGACCATATAAACTTTTCTCTTGATGTTTTCACTTTCTTATTTTCAATTAGTATATAATAAAATTGGGTTCTTTTTTTCTAGTGTAATATGAGATTTTTTTTTTATTATAAACACAAAATATGGTGGGCTTCATAACCCATTAAAAATAAAAAAATAATAAATTATTGCATATAATTTAATGTCTTACTAATAGGAAAAAAAAATCTCCTACAATATAAGAATTCTTTTTTTCAATAAAATTAATCAATCATCATTATTTCAAGTGAAAAAAACTTGTTTCCGTTAACGAAAGGTATTAAGTTGAAGTTGCTAGAATAGAGAAAATAATCTGATTAATTAAATAATTGATAAATCAATACATATATATAAGAAAAGGAATGGTTGTCTTATGTTGCAGAAAGTTTTTTTTATCTCTTACTTTCACCATCAAAAGTCGTATTTTCATTTTATTTTTTTAAATATTGGCTGAGCTTATTATTTTTTGTATCAGCGGTTGATAAAGAGTATCTCCTAGCAAGAGAGTCCATATAATTATAAAATATAATAATAATTTTGTATTTTGTTAGAATGAATTTCATCAAAATCTGGCTGTGGCTCACTTGTCAGGATTTGAGCGGGTAAAATTAGAAGCACTTCTACTTCTAGTCTTTTATCCTACAAATTTACATATTAATCTTGTGCAAATACTCATGAGTAGCAAATAAATAAATATTAATGTGGATTTAATAATTTACAGGGTGACTACATTAATATTTTAAAATAATATTTGTAAACCCTAACGTTGATTATCTTGTCTCTAACTCAGAGTCTCACTCACATTGAGAGTGTTGAAACAGAGCAAGATGGGATCCAAAAACGCGAACGAGAAGAACCACAACAAGAACAAGACGAAGAAGAAGATGAAGATGAATATGAAGAACGATAAGGATAATTTGAATTAAAATCCTTCATCACTCAGTGATGGCCTCGATTTTCGAGGGCGCACACTGACCCTCGGTTCCGTGAAGATCCGAAGCGCGAAACGGAGGTTGCCATTGACTCTCGCTTTGACCGCATGTTCACTCACAAGAGCTTCTTCCCCTCTTCTGCTCCCGTCGACAAGAGAGGCAAATCCTACAAAACCCCAACCTCGCAACTCGGTTCTCTGCGCCATTACTATAAAATCGACGAACAAGATGAAAATCAAGTAGTAGAAGAAGAAGAAGAGGGATTGGTGAAATCCAATCGTGTGAAATCAGATAATGAATCAGAAGAGAGCAGTGAATCTGAGTCTTCTATGGATACAGATACAGATATAGATGAGGAAGTGGAAGCACCTGATATGCAGGTACTGCCACTGAAACTCTGAAGGAATGTCTTTATTTTGAAGAAAAGAGTGAATTTTGAATTTTTTTTTTTTTTTTTATGATGCAATTTTTTAATATGCATTGGTCATTTGTTGGATTATTTTGTATTTTTCTGTGGATAGTGTTAAGAAACTTGGTATACACCACCACAAAAGTTAGCTCATCAAAAGGTGGGAGTGTCCAAGGCCTTATAAACTCCACAATAGTTGCACATACAACTAATGTGGGACTATATATCTCAACACGTTCCCTCACACAAGAGCCCATTGTGCTAGAAGCGTGGATATTGCACAGGTCCAATTTTTGGATTACCTTTTTGTTCTTTTTTTTTAATTTAATTCCACTTTAAAGTGGAGGCGGTGAGGATCGAATTTGTGACCTTGTAGTCACTCAAGCTCTGATACATGTAAAGAATCTTGGGATACACCACTCCAAAAACTAGCTCAAAGTGTTGGAGTGTCCAAGGCCTTATAAATTCCACATTTGTTGCACATACAACCAATATGAGACTATATATCTCAGGAAGAGGTACCGGAGGTTGAGAAAGAAACACATAGGCTTGCTGTTGTTAACATGGATTGGAGGTATGTTAAGGTTCGTAATTCAAGTCTAATGTGCAGTTGATGTGATAAGTTTTTTAATATCAGAAATATTTAATTGAAGTGCTTGGGAACACGATTTTGTTTGGTTAAAATGTTGTTTTGTTTTGTTCTTTTTTTGTTGTAGGCTGTTGACTTGTATGTGTTGTTGAAGTTCATTTGTCCCACCTAATGGACTCATCAAATCGGTAGCTGTCTGTCCATCTGAGTTTGGCCTTCAACGTATGAAAGAGGAGGAAGTTAATGGGCCTGTTGGTCTTTTTGATTATGAAAATGAAAAAGGTGATGAAGATAGCACCGATGATGATCTTGACAATGAGAAGCTGCTTGCGTATGAGAAGAGCAGGATGCGGTAAATAACAATCAAAATTACTTGTGTTGTGACATATTGGCTTACATGGCTTATAGTTAAAGCTGTCAAGTGTGGTTTCACCTTTATTAAGTATAACTTTGAATAGTAATTTTATTAGATTTAGAGTGCTTCTCAGTTCTCATCATTTAATATTTAGTTTTTTTTTTTTTTTCCTGAAGCACTCATTACTTCAAGGCGTACATCTTATGCTGTAATGTTCCAAGAATATGTTACACGCCAATATTGTTAGGCCGAAGAGTAATGTTCAAAGATGATGAATATGAAAAGACCATTCTTCTTTATTTTTTGTTTCCTTCTACCTTTGTGGTCCCCTTTTTTATAATCTAGCACGGTATCATTATGGTCAACAATGTTTAATGTCATGCATGCTTTATTTGATGGGGATTAAGCTTCCCAAAACACTCGGTAAACACACTGTTATTCACTCTTGTATGTCCATGTCTCACATGTCATTCGAATTATTATGCCTTTTCATTTGCAGCACGTGTTTGATAAACTGTCTTACTGTCCTGCTGACAGATACATGTATCTGTAACGTATGACTAGGAAAACTTAAGTAATCTTTTCAGCTTTCCAAGTTCAGTATTTTAATAGATATATTTACCATGTGATGTACGTGTCTCTCTTTCTTTCCTCTTTTATCGTTCTGTATCTTGATTCTTTCTCTGGCTCTCTAGGTACTATTATGCTGTGGTGGAATGTGACTCAAGTACCACAGCAGATTACATTTATAAAGAATGTGATGATCTTGAGTTTATACAGTCATCTAATGCACTTGATTTAAGGTTTATTCCGGACAACATGGAATTCAAACACTCACCTCAGGATGTTGGTAGGGAGGTATTTCACATTTCGTTGTAATTAACCATCTTTAGTATGCAATAGAGTCTAAACTGCTATTAAAAATGTGATTGTGATGGGGTGAATTTTATGCAGTATAACAAGAATTGGCAGTTATTGATTCCTTTCTCTGCTTAGGCACCTGCAAACTATGAGTGTATAGATTTCTATTCTCGAGCACTTCAGCTCAGTAAAGTTAATCTTTCTTGGGATGAGGATGAACCTCTTCGTGCAAAAACCTTGAAACGGAAATTCAATGGTGAGCAGGTCAGCTTGCTTTGTCCTGAGTCTCCTGACCTCTGTGAACGTTGTGTATAATTTGTTTCTCCTTTCGGAAAAATATTGCATTCAGTTGGTTTGGGACTTACGATAATTCGCATCTTTTATCGCCATTGGTCATTACCAGATAGTGTTCTTTCTTCTAAAATTATTTAAAAGCCCATTTCATACATATTCCAATGGAAATATATACACAATCCATTGATGTATGCCTCAAAATATCCATGTCGTGCACATACATATACGCTCATGAACTTCATGTTGACATATTAATTAACATGCTTTTACGCTTTAATATCTTGCAGTACCTATGTATCCTGTACACACGTGTCTATTTTATTATAAGCATGGATATTCTTGTATATTGTTTTGTATATAGTGATTTTATTTATTTACTTGTTGCAATTTGCTTCATACTGAATTGCTCTTTTTCTTCGTTTTCCTTCCTCCCTCGTTAATAGCTAGCTCAGTTAGAGTTGAAAGAATTCTTGACTTCTGATGAGAGTGAAAGTGATTATGGTGACAATAACAACGAGACATATTATCAGCCTGATAAAAAGGCTGGAAAACGAGATATGTATCGTGTTTTGCTCCAGTCTTTCAATGGTTCAGATGAAGATGGCGAACGTGATGATGTCCAGGATCTGGAGGTGACCTTCAATACAGGTTTAGAAGATATAAGCAAACTATTATGGAAAAGAAGGATAAAAAATCAGAAACAGTTTGGGAAGCATATTTGAGGAAAAGACTAGAGAAAAAGAGGGCTTGGAAGAATAAATCAAAGTATTCATCTGATGATGATAGCGATGATACTGATCAAGAAGCAACTGAAGAAGCAGATGACTTCTTCATTGAGGAGCCTGCTGTTAAGAAGAGGAGGAAGGCACAAAGTAAAAATGAAGAAGAGCATAAGCTCCAAGATATGGATGGGGCAGACAAAGCGAGCAAAGAAGAGCTTGAATTATTGCTTGCTGATGACAAGGGGACAGATACTGGTCTCAAGGGTTATAATAAAAAATTCAAAAAAGGCAAAGGCAAAAACTGGGAAAATGCTATTGATGAGGGAAAATACCAAGCAGTGTGTATGATGATCCACATTTTGCATCTCTTCTCACCTGACTATGTAATTGATCCCACTGACCCACGATTTAAAAGGTATGCTGGGTGATATAGTGCGTTTGTGTTCTTATAAACAGTTTTATAATTGAAAGCAGAGAAGCAGTGAGAGAAGTGCCAAGTTCGAGTTTTTCATCATGACTATTTCTCTCCCCTAGGGTGAACATGGGATATTATTGTCAAATATTTAAAATGTATTTGTTGGATAATTCTCTTTCAACTATTATTATAGTCAAATGCAACTCAATCAGACTTTTTATTAACTAAATAGGAATTGCGATATTTGTTCATGACTGGGTGACCTGGTAATATTTACATGTTTAACTTATAATTGCCAAGATTGGATATTCTTGATCTCAAAAAATAGGACTTTCTGTGGTTGAAGAAGCTTGTATATGCTGTTTTTCATGTAACAAACTCACTTTAACATTGTGGTTGTTTGTAGGAGTGCTGCATATGCCAGGCAGCTTGCACAGAAACAGCAGAAGAGTCATTTGGAATTATCAGCGGAAAGGGAGCATGCAAAGCTTTCTAAAGGAATGCAGTTGTCTTCTGATTAATCTGGCATGATGAAGAAGGGTGAGGAAGAAGCATCAGATGTTTTGAAATCAAAGAAAGATCAGTATGAGTTATCATGTTTGGTTAAATCGATTAAGATGAAATCAAAGCAAGTTCAGTTACCCTCTCATGGCAAGATAAAGAAGGATGGGAAGTCTTTGCAATTTAAATGCATGGAGAAAAAGAGGCGCTAGTTAGCATCATTGTGGTGGTTCAATCCACACACTCGAATGCAAGAGACCAACGAAAATGCATTGTTATTACTCCTCTTCAACATGTTATGGAATCCATAGACACAAGGTTGGGATTGGATGAATAGGTTCGGTAGTTATATCTTTTCTCAAGAAAGTTCTAGGTATCGTATTGCTGACCTAATTGTCCATTTGAATTCACGTGCCTTTCTGTTTGACAATTTCCATGATACTTCTTGTATAGAACTTAATCATTCAAGGCGTATGAAATTACTCAAATTATCCTCCAGTTCCGATAATCAACTTTTGCACTTTATTTGGTTAAACATTACCGTTCTTGTGCCTTGTTTGCTCTCTTTTGAGTGCGTTATCAGGGAAAAAAACAGAGAGGTAAACAACAAACTAGAAACTTTGCCGCTTATATTTTTCATGCTGAAAAAAGTGTTTAGAAATTCTTGATATTTCCCGCTGGGGAGACAAACGGAAATCTCTAGAAAAGTTGACACCTGGATTGACATGGCACGACATCACACATGAATAACTTATAAAATGATTAATGTTCATCAATTTTGAATTTGTGAATTGACATGACACGACATCACACAACATGAATAACTTATAAAATGATTAATGTTCGTCAATTTTGAATTTGTGAATTGACATGCGATATCACAAATTATTTTGGGTCAATTTTTGCTAAAATGAACACGAAAAAAATTTAAAAATAGATTGGCTCGAATACTACCGTGTCATGTCCGTGTCAGCGAATCGTGTTAAAAATTGCCTCCTCTAGTCAAGCATTTCCATTATTTCAAATTGTGCCACACTAACACTTGGGACTAACGCATATGATAAATATCAAGATCAAGAATCCCTACATGAAATTTTAAAGTTAATAGAAATTTTAAAACCACGATGAGTTTTTAAGTTCAGGGATTGATTTTAAGACGGTGATAAAATTCAATGACTAATATGTTAATTTACTCGACTCCGTTTGTATTGATACAAAAATTCAATGACTAAAATGTTAATTTACTCAACTCCATTTGTATTGATACAAAAATTCAAAGGATAGTTAAAAGATGATAACTTGACGTATTATGCGTCAAATATAAACTGACAAATACAGGATATTGGACGCAACCTTAAAACAAAATCTTTTGTCCTAACAAGAAAACGACGAAAAAAATAAATAAAATCCCGCATTTACTCTCTTTTTCATAATAAAAAGAGAATTCAAAGATAGGTCAAGAGATCCGGGCAAAATAAAATTTAATTCCTAAGACAAATGTGTGACAATCTACATACAGAACTGCACTATGGAAAGTCTAAAGATCCAATCTACCAGGGATACGCATTTAATTTCCTAAATACAACCATACCTTAGACAGAATACAACACGAAAGTCATCCAGGGGGTCCCAAATAACTAAATTACTAAAGCAACTTGAACAACATTACAACAGTTAAGGACACTAGGTAATTAGTAAAGTACATTTCAGCAGGATACACTACAGAAGATGATGAATATACTTCATTGAGCACAGCTCCAAATAACTTGTCCATTGTCAACCATTTTCTTGACTTGCTCCTCAGCTTGAATGGTGTTTTTTCCATCACTTACAGGGATTCCTTTCTCAGCATTCATCTCTTCATCATAGGGATTCACCTTCTCAGCTCCACCATTTGCCTCAAGAATCAGAGTACCTGATTCATCCTGCTTATTTTCAACATTACCATTTTCATTTTCTGATACTACTGGAGCCTCCCCATGGGGTTTTTTTTCAGTGACCACATCATTCAAACCTTCCACAGCAATTTTGTCCCCTGATTCTGCTGCTTCTTCCCCTTGAGGAGGCTTTTCAGCAGTCACATTTTCCCCTTCCACATTAGTACTATTCTTAATTTCCTCTGCATCACCCTTTGATTCATTATTATTATTGTTATTATTATTATTATCAGTGTCATTGGGATCAGCCTTAGTTTCTTCAACAGCAGATTTTGCATTGCCTTCCTCTGAAGCAGGTTCAGTTTCTTTGTTATCCTTCTTTGAACCTGATGATTTTCGACTCCGTTTCTTTGGAGGCTCACTCTCTGCTGGTGGAGATGATTTGACTTTCTCACTAATCCTAGCTGATCGCCTAGGGGTCTCACCAGTTCCCCAATCAAACTCTGATATTGCAGGATTCCCAGGATGTGCCTTTAGGTACTGCTCCAATTGTTTTCTGGAACTGATCTCTTCCCCAGTTGGAGCAATGAACATGATCTCACTTTTCCTTGGTGTTCCTACTTTCTTAGGGAAGAACTGCAGAGTGAAACTAAAAATGCATTACAAAACAATTACTATACAACATACAATTACAAGCATAGTAATAGGAATTGCATCATTCCTATTACCTGTAGCCAACGATCCCTATCATGTAATGAATAGGAAATCACTTAGAATTATACAATACATACATTAATATGTGTGATTCATCACCGACATGAATCACATGATTCAACTAGATCCTTTTTTTCTTTCATCAATTCTCATAAAAGAAATTGAAAAGTCAAATAAGCTTAAGTTGTAAAATCAAAAAGGAACATTATTGAATGCGCCCTACTTGATTATTCCACTGCCATGTTTTTATTCTTTTGAAATTGGGGCTTCTTACACTCATTTTATCCACACCCTATTTGGGTATTTCATTGCTTTGTTTTTGTAAAATCCGGCCGATTCAAGAATTAATGACTATTCTCACATACTAACACGAGACTTTTCAGTGTGTGTTTTCCTCACTCGCACACTTCCTGAGAAAACTTCCCAGGAGGTCACCCATCCCAGAATTACTGCAAGTTAAGCACGCTTAACTATGAAGTTCTTCCGTTCTAGGCTACCCAAAAGTAGATGCATCTTGTAAGTATATGTAGTACCAATTAATTCTTATAAGTTATCTCAAAATGTGCAGTCTCATACATGCACATTCTTTGGAATCCCTCTCTTTCGGGTGTCGATTCGATTCATTCATGTAACTCCCACTGGAAGCCTGTCAGGAGCCGCTCCTTGTCCATGCCCTTTCGCACCGACCATCACTCCCCGTCCTCGTCAGCGCCCGGGATGTTATAGTTTTCATTCTATTGAAAGAGAGGCTTCATACAGTCACTCGCTCACTCTATATGCAACGCATTTGGCTATTATCATTACTCTACTATCGTTCTATCTTTTGAAAGATAAGCTTCATGAACTCACTGTATGCAATTCAATTATGACTTATGATTAAGTTACTTAGCCAATTTCTAGTTCCTACTTTAAAACCATTACATTGTTTATTATATATCATATCATAAGCTATTTTTTATTATGTCTCTCAATCTTAAGATTCTCTCCGAATTACAATTTACGATTCGAAAATTAACTTGGATATTCACAATTCGAATTGTGATTCAAAAACCTTGATTACAAGCAATCAAGTAAATGTTGTCAATTTCATACATCATATATACAGCTCAAAACTGCACTATAATCTTGTTATTGATTGGTTTCAGTAACCAACTACATGAAGTAAATCTTTGTATAATAATATATAATAAAACAAAATCAGAAAGCAACTGATCATCAACAAATCACTAAACATAGTTCACAAAGTGTTTAATGCGCCCATAACATTCTAGTATTTTCAGAATCACATAACACGCCGAAATACTCGAAGCCATGACACTGGTAAGTAAAGAACAACACATGTTTCTTGTAAAAAGACAATAAAGATAAAAGCAACGTCAAATACATGAAATGGAGCTATACAAACAACCTTTGTCTTCTAGTTACTACGTGTGATGCCCATACCATAATATTCTAGTATTTTCCAGGAAAATTGTCCAGAATACTTTTACATTCTCACAGGGGACACACAGGTATAAAAAAAATTAATAAATAAATAAATTAAACAAACTGAAGTAGACAAATTTTGCTAGGAACTGAGCTCTTTATTATGATAATAATGATATTAGTACAAAGTACAAACCCTAGAAACAAAAATTAGCACCAAATTCTCAAACATTTAAACTAGGAGAAAAAAAAAAACGAAAAGGGAGAATGGCGTTAGTAACAGAATTGAAGCAAGGAAAGTGAGAAATCAAGCCAAGGTAACAAACATAACAAATTAACAAAAAATATAATAACGGTAACAATGAAAACCTAGGAAATTGGAAACAATTATTTAACTAACTTGAAATATGAAGTAATAATAACAATAATATTAGAGGAAGAGAGAGAGAAAAAAAAAAGACCAGTTTCTTCCAAGAAGGAGGAGCTGAAAGCTCCACCGATAACACCTCATCTTTGCCACCACTTTGTGCTTCATTCTCCATTACCAAAACCTCTCTCTCTCTCTGACTTTGAAGTTTGTGAAGAGTGAGAATGGTAACTAACCTAACCGGTATGCAAATTGCATAGCATGGAATTAGGATATGGTTTTTGGGTTATTGTTTCTTTCTCTCTCAAACCGTCACCAATTTCAATTTGGGATCGGGCTTTGATAAACTCACCCGCCTCTCTGTTCTGCCCACTTGGCGACCCTCCAATTAAACACCGAAACTTCAGCTTTGCCTTCATTTCAATCAATTATTATTCATTCGTGCTCCTTAAATTCTGACACGTGGCAAAAAAAAAAAACTCACCACGAAGTTCGTGTCACCGAATCATGCGTTTCATGTCTTCCCCTCTCTTCATTTTCCATAACTATACAATATTCCATAATTATTTATGAAATTAAATTTTATATGCTTTTTGTAAATAAAAAAAAATTAAACGTGTAAAAGAAAAGTTAATTAACCGAAATGGTTGAAATTGAAGAGAGTGGTGGGTTGTGGAACGTGAAAGGTGCCATAGAGAGGGGCACGTGTCGCTCACACGTGAAAAGATTGATATTTGTGGATAACGTTCCTTGTTGAGGTGCTTTAACCAAATTTAAATGTGCGTTTGGAATCCGAAACTCACCCTCACTCACCGACCCAAATGACATTTCAAAATCTGAAAATCTAAGTAATATTATAAAAATCTAAGTAATATTATAAAAATCAAAATTGGACCCCATTTAATTATCAATTTAACCAGTCAAATTAATGAATTGATTTGAAAGTTTTCCCGATTCAAACTATAGTTTAGTCCTTTATAAGATTGTTTCTAAGTAATTAAAGATAAATTTATGTACAAAAAAAAAAGATAAATTTTGCTTACTTTGTATGGCAAGGGGAGATTTTTTTTTTTTCTATTTCAGACTAAGATTTTTATTTCTTACTCTTTATTTCAGTTATTGATAGACGAAAATTAATGATTAATATAATTAATAATTAATTAATTAATATAACTTTTTAAATTATAACTGTTAAATGGACAAAAATTAACAATTAAAATAAAAAATAAAATTTATAAATGTTAGTGTGAAGTCAAAGGTTCGCTCTCCATTGCAAGGCTTATTAATAAAAAATCTAATCACTCTAATGCGGTGCATGCATTTTAGTTTTCGCAGTTAATTAATAGTTTTAATTAAACCTGTCACGCTCATATCATTCGCTGTTTTCTACTAAGTACGAAGGGCTTCAGAGGATAAATATGGAATCTAAACCGAATGTTCCCTCACTCTCCTTTATCCCCCTTTATTTTTTTTTCTTCTTTTTTTCGCTACACTGAAATTCTTTCTTCGTTATTATTTTTTTCTTCGTTAAGCTCTTATTTGAAAGGGGACAGGTTAACTTACGACAACAATTATTTTTAAAAACCTATATTAATTTAAATTCACTTTCTCGAAGATGGATATATTTGTAATGTCATTTTTTATTTTTTTATTTAAATATATTTTTAAATCTTAACATTCTTATCTATTAATTCTTTTTTTTAATCTTACCATTGAATTTTCTTAAAATATCCGCACACTGATTACTCAATACTTCCATATATTTTAACTAGACTCTGGACATTACGGATCTCAACATTCACATCTCCTTCTTATTAAGAAAATAATATTCTAACATCAAGCACTTCAGACTTTGGACTTAAAAGATTTTAGAAAATGAAAGGGGGAATAAATTTAATTTTGAATAAATATTTTCAGTTTAAGAACTTTTAAAAAAATTAAAAATAATATTAACTTACTATACTATATTTCAATTGTTTTTCATATTCTTGCGAATAGTAAATAATTTGTTAATTTAAAAATAATTTTTTTATCAGTACTTATCTACCTGCTAATTCCTATCCAAACATACCGTCACTGCGTAATGATATCCGCGTAAAATAAGTTTTATTATAAATGTGATTTGGGTTTTTCAAGTTACAAAAGATAATAAACATACATAAAAAAAAAAAAGGTGCGAAACTCATTTTTTTTTTTTCAAATGAGCTCCACACACATTTTTTATATGTACTATATAATTTCCTCTCCTATAATTAGTGTTTTAAAATTTTGCTCCACTCAGAGTTAATTCTTTGGGGCCACTTCTTCTCTCTTTCTAAGAGTTCAGATTAGTAATTAGACACTATTTATACGTTGACTCATCTAACTCCCGAAATCATAGGTTGAATCTGTGACTTCTGGGTCAGAAGAGTCATTGTATTTTTTTTTGTAGGATATTGTAACAATCAATTAGTGTTACTACCAATGATATTAACAATCAATTTCACCGTTAGATTGGTTATGTTGATCAAACGGTAATATTTATTTTTATATTTGTATATTATGATTCCTCATATTTAATGTGAAACCGTTAATTATGAGGAATCATAACTATACAAATATGGAAATAAATATAACCGTTAGATCAATATAATCAATTTAACGGTGAAATTGATTAGTAGTATTGTTGATAGTAACATTAATTAGTTGTTAGTAGTATCGTTGATAATATCAGATGCATTACATTAATCCTATTATAAATATGAATAAAAGTTTTCAGGCTTAAATGGTAGTGTAAACTTTGACAAATTGTCTAAGTAGCACGGTTTGAATCTTCAACTCAAAACTACTCATATCTTGAAAATGAATTGTATAAATGAATTTAAAGTAGTTATACTTTATCAATTTTTAGTATTTATATAATATAATTTAATGAAAAAATGTTTTTTTATGCCATAAGAGATAGGGGAATGAATCTTTTACAAATTCTTTTTACAAATTACACTAAGTCTGACGGTCATACACTCTTAATTAAAATATGACCGATCAAATATAGTGTAATTTGTAATAAAATTTTTGCAAATATAATTTGTCCTTAAGAGATAAAATGATTTTCGATAACTTAAAATAACATTATTTTGGGATTTAAATTTTTTAATCCATTACCAAAAGACAATTTGTCAGCTTCTTATTCAGAGCTACATTCTTTTCTTAGTCATGACAAATACAGATATTATGTATAATTAATATGAGATATAATATATTAATAACAAGCAATAGGCTGATTGAAAATGAAAACCAAAACGGTAAGTATTCCCACTATAAACTCGCGCCACATATTACTATAATCATTATAGTAAATACCTGTGTATTCATCCTGTCATATAAATATAACCCCAATAAGTCCACGCAGTGAATTATAAACTACCCGGATGGGAATCTTTACTCTCTCTTTTTCGCCTTGACATTTGAAATTTTATGGCATTAGTACATAATATTTTCATATCAATTATTACTTTGAAAATGACTTAGCGACTGATATTTTAATTATTATTTTTCAAGACTTTGTAAATTACTATTTCAAGGTCACTACATCAAAAATGATGCCGGAATAACTAATTACTCTAATACCATGACAGAGTATATGAAAGTTTATATGAAAGTCAAGCATGGATTACAAAATTTTACTTCTGTACTAAAATCTCGAACCCTGATATAAATGGGTGAAAGGAAACAGAAGTAAAGGAGAAAATGGCCTCTCTTTGAGGGTATATCTAATGGTTCTAATAAGCTTTCTTGTCTATTTCTCAAATACAGCAAAAAGGGTCTTTATACAAGGCAACCTACACAACCTAAACTTTCTAATACATGCTTTCTTAAGGAGTGTGAGGCTCCCATTCAACTGAACTATCTTAGGCTTTAAATAGAGCATGATTAGGATTTTTGAAAAATTCATTTAAAAAATTAGGACTTAGACTCACTTTAAAAAACTTAACCTAAAAGTCTGCATGCTTGCATTTTAACTTTTTAATAATATAATATATTTATAATATATATTGTTCACTTAAAGGCATATTCTGATATCATAATGGGATTCATTAGTATCAAGTAACAAGAAAACAAACTTTTATTCCTGCACACTCATTTAAAGTGGGACCCACCAGGAAAGAGAAAAAAACAGAAAAAAAAGAGTGCAGCTCGTTTATCCATGTGAGAGCAGGAAAGAACCTAATTTTTCTGTTACTTGACATAACTAAAACCCTATCATAATTTGTAACACTAATTTTTAAAGTAATAGAATTGATGTTATTTTAATAAATAAAAAATATTTATTTAAATTTTAAAATATAATATTAAATAAAATTAATAAAGAAAGTGCAAGTTATATGCATATACACATGAAATTTTCATGTGATCTTTGTGAACATTATTTCATGTGTTGTTAATGAAAATATTATTTATGTGATCTTTGTGAATAAGAAATTGTAAATTTTATATTTTAGTTTGATTTGGACCTATAAACTTTAGTTAGCAACCTCGTAGGCCTTACTTGTTGCACAAGTGACTTCAATATTCAAGAGATGTGTGAATTGAGTTTTACAAAATCTTTTCGCAAAGTGCCTTCTTTGATATTTTAATTAGTGTTTATTCAATAAAAGGATTTAATAAGAAAAAATCTAAGTGTGAGAGCAAGTGTGTGATCAATAAAATAAGCAAGCAAATAGATAGACACAATCTAAAAAATGCAATTTCAATACTAAAGTAAAGAGTTTAAGGTTTAGAGAAATTGCAAACTAGATTTATCCTTCGGTCACCACCACCACGACCTACGTCCAGACTGAAGTCGCTTAATCAAACTTTTCACTAGCTATCAAGCTTGAGAAACCACTACAACCTTTCAAGACTTCGGACACTTGATACCTTACAATTTTTCTCTCCAAATTTTCTTAGGAATTTGCTGACCTCTCAAGTGTAAAGGGTTCACTCCACTAACTATTCAAGAAATCAAATGGAGGTGTTTAACAATGGCTAAGTACTCTCAAAGTATAGATTATATAAGTTGAAAAACTATGGGCGTTGACACTCTAACAAGAATAAAGCTCAAAGAGAATTTATGATCAAGAAGACAAGAATAAAACAAGTAATATGATTTAAATGAAGAATAATGATCATGAAGAAGTGTCCAATCAAAGGAACATTGATCTCTATTTATAGAGGGCCCCAGGGGAGTTTGTCCACTTATTTTTGCAAACTAACCATTTTATAGCAGTTATTTTTGCCTTCTGCACAGTGGGCGATTATCATTGCTTTGGTAATCGATTATCATGAAGGGTAATCGGTTACCATTGC